AACTTCCATCCAACCGCTCGGAATAATGCAGTAACTGGCACTTATATTTCATATCGACAGATTCCTTCATTGCATAAGACCGTCATTCATAACCCTCTTAATACGACCACAACAATTATTATTAGTTTCCTGTCAACTGCTAGGAACACTACAACATTGTAACGACCACAACAACATAACGACCACGATAACCAATGATAGACTACACTCACTTAATCATCAATTCTACTAGGCAATCATACAACTCAAAACATCCACAACATAACAGAACGGGCATCTTCCATTAACAGGTTCAGCAACATCACGGGCAACAATCACAATTACTACCAATTCTCCAAAACAAACATCATAAATCTCATTATAAGGTCAGAACCCCACCCTTACCTGGATTGAAGGTCGCTCAACCAAAGCTTCGGCGGTAATCCTTGATTTGCTCTACTCGACACAGGTCAGCTTGCTCCTCTTTTGCGCAGCTCTTCTGGTCAACGTACAGGACTTGCTATTCTCTAACTAAAAACAAACTCTTGTGTTAGCTTAGCCTTATATATCAATCCTATTGGACCTAACCTACACACCCCCACTTTACTACTTGCAACCGATAGCTTAAGTCCAACATTATATATATATATATATATATATATATATATATATATATATATATATATATATATATATATATATATATATATATATATATATATATATATATATATATATATATATATATATATATATATATATATATATATATATATATATATATATATATATATATATATATATATATATATATATATATATATATATATATATATTCCCTTAATTCCAACAATATAATTATTATTAATCAACTAATTAATTAATTAATAATAATCCAACAACTCATACCAATAATTCTCAACATCTCGCAACTTCGCAAATAATCCAAAAATGATTTAATTAAATAAATAATTAATTAAATTACGGGCGTTACAACTCTCTCCCACTTAGAATATTTTCGTCCTCGAAAACTTACCTCATTCGAATAACTCAGGATAAGAGTCCCGCATCTTGCTTTCCAACTCCCAAGTCATGCTTTCTCCGGCAGCTCCTAGCCAAACTACTTTCACCAAAGCAATATCTTTTTGCCTCTCAGAGTCTTCATTTCACGATCCACGATTCGTACAAGCATCATCTCAATATTAAGATTATCCCACACTTGTACATCATCCATATGAATCACATGAGATGGATCTGAAATATACTTGCAGAGTTGTGACACATGAAACACATCATGCAAATTCGAAAGATTAGGCGGTAAAACCACTCTATAAATAACATTCCCAACTCTTTCCGAAATCTGATATGGACCAATAAAACGAGAAGTGAGCTTCTTAGACTTCAATGCTCGCCCAACACCAGTTACAGGTGTAACTCTCAAAAACACATGGTCACCTGCTTGAAATTCTAAGTCCTTCCTTCGCTTATCATGATAACTCTTATGTCTACTTTGAGAAGCTTTCATCTTTTCCCGAATCATCTTCACCTTCTCAGTAGTCTCATGAACAAGTTCAGGTCCAAGCACTACACTTTCTCCAGATTCATGCCAACATAAAAGAGTTATATTTCATAATAAATCTTTGTTACCCGATCAAAATCATTTTTTGTAACATTTTTTCTCTCTTCGCTCAAAGGGTGTGAAACAATCTTCATTGTGTTTATTGTCTCTTAAGCTTAAGGTTTTGTTTGTAAATTTGGAGGGAAGGACAGGGCTTCCGAAAACGATTTTTTTAAAATATATTAGAAAATATTTAATATTAAAAAAAAGATTTTATATAGAATGATAAAAGAGTATTTATCATTATTATATTTTTAGTTTTTAAAATATTACAACAACATAAAAGATATTTGGAAAATTTATGTAAGTCCTCCAAAATTCTCATTCATTACAAATTTTGAACTCCTTTAAATTAAGAGATTTTTAGTGTTATGAATAAAAGCAAATCCTCCAAAACTCTCTCAACCAAAATGTTTCAATTCTTTTCACTTAATCCTTCCTTTTTTTTCAAAGCTCTCCCCTCTCTTCTCCTCCAAACTCTCAAATACACCTTAAGAGTGCATTTGGATGAAGCATTTTAACGAGAGAAAATAATTATTTTAAGGAATTTAAAATGATATGATCAAAATCCGTTGTTTGGATAAAAAATAAGGAGAATTGTTAAAATGATGTAAACTTATGAAGTATTTTATTCAAGTCAAATTTAAGGAATTTCAAATGACACAAAAATAAAGAATTTGATATTGCTCCATAATATGAATGTTAAATTGTTTATTATTTTTTTAAAAAATTTACAAAACGACCTCATATTTTATGAAAATTATAAATTTACTGCTAAAATTTTCAAAAAAATTGCAAATACGTCCCTAAATAATTTTCAAATTTTACAAATTATTTAAAAAAATTTCAAAAATTACAAATTGATTCCTATTTTTTATATTTTAAATTTGACTCAAAAATTTAAAATTTTATAAAACTGACTCTAAAATTTTTACAATGAATCATTTTAATACTCCATCCAAACAAAAAAATTTGAAATTGAATAAATTTTAATTGAATCATTTGAATTGTTTAGAATTTTGAATTCCTTAAATATTTCGAATTGCCTCATCCAAACACAGTCTAGTGTGTTTGGATAAAGCATTTTAATGAGGAAAAATAATTTTTTGAGAGAATTTAAATGACTTGATCAAAATCCGTTGTTTTGATAAAAAATATGGAGAATTGTTAAAATGATATAAATTTATGAAGTATTTTATTCAAGTTAAATTTAAGGAATTTCAAATGACACCAAAAAGTAAAAAAAAAAATGAAATTACTCTGAATGTTAAATTGTTTATTATTAATTTTTTAAAATTTGCAAAATGATTCTTATATTTTATGAAAATAGCAAATTTACCCCCAAAATTTTCAAAAAATTGCAAATAAACCCTTAAATAATTTTTAAATTTCTGCCGTTAATGACAGAGTTTGTGGTTTCCTGAAAATCCAAACAAAATTTATGGATAAACTATGCTGTTTTAAATCTGCATAATCTCAGGTAAGAATGCAATTTTTAAGGGAGGTAGATTATTACTCTCTGAGATTGTTAATATCTTCTTATGCAAGTTTGATCAAAACTCACATTGGAAAAGTTACATTATTGTACTTGTTGATTTTAATATCCTAGGAGAGATTTTGGGATGACCCTAATCTTTCTACCTCAAAAGCATGAGAGCACAGATCAAGCTATTCTATCACATAGTTCTGGTTTGGGACATGGTGGATCAACAGCCGTAACTGCAATACTGATCGATGGAAGAAGACTATATGTAGCATTACAAATGACTATCGACCACGAACCAAACACAGAGCGAGGCAGCATCGAGACTAGAGGTGGTTTTTTTTCCAACTTGCCAGGTGCTTAAACTATTAGTTAAACCAAATTCGGTTCAATATAATGAAAAACATTTGCATGTGGTAAACTAGGTAATGTCTAACCAAGAAGCAGTGCTAGAAGAATGAAAAATCCACAGGAAGCAGCAAAACAATTAACAGCTGAAGCAATAAAAAGAGACAGTAAAGATATCTTTTACAACATGTCACATTTAGAGGTGCAATTTATAGCTATAATAATAAAGGTATATCTATATACAACATATAAACTTCTTATTAGCCAAGAATGATAAAGAAAACGAGAAAAATTAATGTCACCTGTTATTTTATACATGTCATCCCTTATATATGACGCAGTTACGAAAATATTCTGAAATATATTTGAAATTTCTGATTCCGTATTGAAAATTTCACGCAAATATTAAAAATTTTGTTAAATTTCTATGTTTTTACCGTGTCATTTGGTTGTTACCGGAAATTTGAAATTTGAAATTTGAAATTGTCCGATATTTTTTTTTACTCTAAATTTCCGACACTTGTAGAACTTATGTAAATCGCAACCGAAAATTTTGAAATTTCCAATAATCACAACTGGAAATTTTGATATTTCTGATTATCATTATCGAAAATTTGTAGAATGTAAAGAATTTTCGGTATGCGACAAAAATCGATATCGAAAATTTGTTAAGAATACCGGAAATTTTGAAAATTATCCCTTTGACCAATAGTAAATTTTTTTGACAAATAAAAAATTTAGAATAAATAATAAAAGAAATATTTTGAAAATATTGAAATTTAAGGGGATGACATATATAAAATAGAGGGTAACGTGAGAACGAGATTTGTCAAATTTGAAAATGCTTTTTTGATTAGATTTTATTGATCGAGAATGTTTGATTTCATTCCATCACGTGTGGCTATACTAAGAATCTTGTGTGTACATTGTCTTGTGTGTATATTGAAAATCTTCAAGGAAGAATTATTCTGAGAGAGGATATCGAAAATCAACTAGATCCAATGTTATCATGTCAGCAGCACAAGGGATTCAGCTATGGAACCTTGTGTGATATCAAGTAACTCCCGAATCTGGATCGGTTAAGCAAAGTTAGCAATCTCTCCTGCATAGAATACTTTTGATACAAAGTACACTTATATGATAATTTAATCAGATTTATTACTTTTAAAATTTTACATAAACATGTTTGAGTACATGAACATGACAGACAAACAGTACAGGGTAGGATTACAATCATTTCATTCCCAACAAAATTAAATTTATGAACTGATGATCAAATAGATTTGACCTTCATGTAAACCTACAACAAGTCAAAGAATTACAGATTTAAGGTCTGAACTTTTCCGTTTAAACTATACACATTGAAGTCAATTTTCTAAAATGCTGAATGAAGTATTTCTTGATCATATGGACAAAAAAGGGATGATTACATCATTCAGAAACACAATTGACTTCACTACACGTGAGGCTCAAGGGTGTGAAGATTACACATGAGATCGTGGCATAACTTGCAGCCAAGCTTTTAATAGGGTATAATACTTCACAGGGAAAAAACTTTTCAATACAGGCAACTTACTGGTGCATCACGCGGCTGGTGCTTTCTTCTCCAATTGAAACTGTGGCAAGGGACTTGGAAGCCCATGCCTTAGCATTCATTGCTCCTTCCTGCAGATTACTTCTCTTGCATGGCTCTTTCAAACGGTAAATCGACTGTATTATTCGCTTCAAATAAACCAAAGGATGTTCCAGCAAGCTCCATAATCTAACATTTTGGATTACCCTTCTCCAAGCATATTGAGTACATATAAGCAGTGTAGGAGAAAACAGGTAGAGTAATCTCAAAACAACAAATGCAGTAGCCAAAGCCAGATAAGTTTCCTGTCGCAATAAATTTTCTGGAGATCTAGCCCATGAAAATGGACAGCTTTCTGGTTCAGTGTCACTGAGATTCTCGTCATCTGATGGGCGCCCAATTTTCTCAAGGGATAGTTGGTCAAGTGAATCAATCCTAATCCCTACAGCGACAACCAAAATGAACTAAATATAAAAAATAAGCATACAATCATGTGCTATTGCATAACATGAGGAAGATTACAAAAGATATTTTACAAACTCTCCCAACAATGCCCATGACCTTTCTATCAGCCCAACCTCCCAAGGCCCAACTATTTTTCCTTTGTCACGTAAAAGCTACAGTAATCACATGATTGCTACAAAGGACGACTAATGCACAGTCAAAGCATGTCATGATGAAAAGTAAAAACTCAACCTTAAGTATTCAATAAGTTGTTGAGAAAAAGGTTATAAACTTCAAATTTGAATTGTGAATTGGACGATCTATTTTCCAAATTTCAAATTGAATCTTAACTATGTAGCACCGACACCTCTGAAAGAATGTGTGTCTGTGTCTGGGTAGGTGTCGGACAGCTGCACCGACACTTGTGATTGTATTAATTTATTCCTTTTTCAAATTATTACCGGTGTCGCCATGTCAGTGTCAGAATAGTTTTTAGGGTGTCTTCATAGAATCTTAATATTAAAAAAAATATAAAATAGTGCTTGTGTGAAAAAACTTACTAAAACATAAAAATATTAGCATTTCTGCCAACAAACAAAAACAAACAAAAAACAGAAAGAAAAAAAACATTGGAAGAGTTTGGAAAGTATGGCCCAATACCACTTCATCCTCAGAAAAATATAACATCAAACAGAAACAGAAAGCTTAGGGCCTAAAATGGACCGACACCCTCTTTCACCCCCAAGAAACAAAAATCTCAAGCCACCTCACTTTCACCAGCCAACCCTTCCTCTCTTTCAAACAAGACATAAAGGGACTAAAAATCAAAGAATAGAGGAGGGAGAGGCACAAAGCACTGGGTAGGCAGGCAGAATTAAAAAAAAAATCCTCCTTTTGAGATTCTGACTTGGGTTCTTCGGGGTTTAGTTTTGGCTGCTTATGTCCCATTAAAGAAAAAAAATTGCAAAACATTCACAACCCTATAAGGCCTTTCCAAAACCAGCTATGTAACCATGCCTACACTGCACTTTTCAATTCAAGACATGATCTATGATATATTGATCGAGAACAAAATGAATCCTACAGAAATAGAAGAGAAATCCTCCAAATGAACAGAATATTTAAATACAACATATTTTCTACGGTGTTGAATAAATCCATACATTTCTTCCATGGGATTGTGTTTGGAAATCATAATTTAAAGCAGCGTCTAGTTCAAAGGAGTGGAGGGAAAGGAACTAAATAAGATGTAATCATGTTTCATTGAGAGGGGCAAAAGGGATATAGCCCTCTCTTGGTCGGGTTCTCAAGGGAGGGGAGGGGTTTCTAAACTAATCAGTTTTGTATACCCTTACACCTTTCTTGCTACATTTTATGCAAGGACAACGTAGCCAATTCATTTAAAATGTTTAAAACTCATCTTCTCTTCCCTCCAAACCCCTCAGTCAGTTTTGGAGGAGAAGACAGATTGAATGGGGAGGTATTCCGTTTTCTCCATATTCCACTACCCTCCATTATATTAAAACAAAGATTCAAAATAATATCTACCCTCCATTTCTACCTCCTCGAAAAACTATGTGATATAATTGTATTAATGTTAAAATTTTGAAAGCTTTATAAATAGATTAAGCTCCCCTTCATTGAATGTAACTTACAAGACTGGCATGCAAAAATTGCAGCTGAAACTGATAACATTAAGAAAAACTTAAATAATAGAACACAACTCTGAATGCAAAGAAATGTGCGAAAAAATAGCCCTTACATACCAGTAACATCGTTGTAGAAACCTACAAGAGAACCAAGCGTCCGAGATCCATGATACCGAACACGCATAGTAGAATTCAAAATGAATAATGTAGGAAAACCATGTACACCATACTTGGATAAAGTACTGCCAGAATAGAACTAAGTTTGAAATAAAATAAAACCAAGAACCAATCAAATAGAGAGAAAAGAAAAACTAAATCCACAAACCTTGGCCTAACAGATGATTCTTCAATAGCAAAATGAGGTATAGACGGATGTAAGGATGAAAGAACAGAAAAAACCGGTCTAAATACCCGCGAAAACGGACACCACGACGCATAGAAGAGCACAGCAACATACTCATGATAATTCTTATGAACCATATTCAGTGCCTTCTGCAAAGAAGCCTCATCTCCCTGCATATCAAAAACAACATAGCTTACTGTAATCCTAATTCAATCACCAAATAAACACACTCTAAATTTGGCAAAAACAGTACACCAGCATAAAATTGAGCTTATTCGAAAATCATCACAAAAAGACAAAAATATAAATATGAGGAGAGAGAAGGGTTACCTGGGTGACACCAACATAACGAATGGATCCAAGAGAATCGGAAAGAGAACAAGTCGAATCTGGAAACCGTAAAACGAAATCCGAAAGGAATTTGGTGGGACAAACGGCGGTGGCGGTGGCGGTGGCGGTGGCACAACAGAGAAAAATAGCGAAGACGATTTCCGATCTCCAAAGCCTCATCCTCGTCCCTTCCCTTTGGATTATTATTATAAAATGAAGGAAAAAATAGGGAACGAGAAGAAAATCGAAAATCGAGATGGAAATGAAACCCTAAATTGGATTTGAAAAGGGGAAATGAGAAGAGAAGAGAACAAAAGAAAGAGGGTGATGAATGAGATAATGAGATCTGACGTGGCTTAATCTGAGTGGATGGTTTTGTAATATAAATTAAAATTTTAAAAAAATAAATAAATAAATATAATAAAGGAAGAGGGTTGGTTTGAGGAAGGTGGTAGAACAAGTGGTGGTGATAGTGGGAGTGAGTGTAATCGGTGAATGGAATAAGAATAGGAATAAGGTTATGATACCAATCTTCTTCTTCGATTTTGTGTTCAACTGTGAGATAGATATTACACTATGGTTGGTTCGTTGGTTGGTTCGTTGGTTTTCTAGTTTTCTAGTGACTTTCTCTTTATTCTATTCTCTTCAACTAAATTTTATTTATTCCATTACTACATTTAACTTGTTGAATTCATTTTATATACTTTACCCCATTTATAATCATTGACTTCTTTACAAAAAAAAAACAGTAAATCTAATAATGGATTATTATTATAGTAAATCTAATGGATTACTATTACTCAATATGTTTAGATGATTTTTGTAAAACATAGTGTTAATGAGATTGAATTTTAAGTTGAATTTTTAAAATCAAACTAAATTGTTTATATATTTTTTAATATTTTATTTAAGTATTATATATTATGGTAATTTATTATTAATTAGTTTTTAATTTTTTAATATAATTTAATCTATTTATTTATTTATTTAAGGACACTCACAAGGTTTACATCTTAAAAAATAATATTAAGGACGACAAACGAAAGTAAGAAGAATAGGTATGATGTCGTTGATCGCGACTTTCAGAGTCTATCAGATTTATTTATTGCAAGTGCACAGTCTAATCGCGTAATTTTAAAAGATATTGAATTCACAGGGACTGATGATCAAACTAATGTTATCTAATGTTATTGTGTAAATCTAAGACTAATGATTTATCTTGGGTTTGAGGAAAACGGAAAATAAATTCAAACTTTAATAGAAATATTCAATGACGGGACACCGGTATGTAACTCATCATACTTTGGGGATTCGACAAAATGTTGGCGTGTCAAAAATACTTTTCTGTAAAAAACATTGATTTAAAAGACTTTATCTCACACTATCGTGCTATTGACTATGACTATACTCTTAAACCAAAATGCTTTGCTATCGCTTAGTCATTTGAATTAAAAATAATTTTTAAAAATAAAAAAGTTCTAATAGCGTTGTCACTGTGTTTAGAATTAATGTCTAGTTTCCACTATCCGGTTAAAATCTCAAATCGTCGCTCTATTGACTTTTAACCTTTATTTGCTTTTTACTCTCGTACAAAAGTCGTTTTAATTTTTAAGTTAGAAACTAAAATAAAAAAAATAACTTATAAAAATAACGCCAATTAATATCAAATCCCGTCTAGATGATTGTTGTTACATACCGGTATCTGATTATTTAATCGGACATGGTTTTAAACGCTAACATGTTAGTATAATTATTAAACAATAAACTGAATATTATTTTAGAAAATATAACAATATCGAGATAAGACTAAAATGGGAATCAAAACTAAAACTAAAAATGCAATAAAAATAGAACCTGAAATAAAATTAAATCTGATTAAATTCTGGAAAATATCTTTGTGTACAATGACTCGAAACCAATTGAAAATATGTCGGCACGCTTGAAGAATCCAGTACAGAATTAAAAATAACAAGGTCCTAAAATTAGAGTTGTGATAGTCCCCCGGTGTGGAAGAGTTGTCACTTTTACGAGTAATTTAACTGCCTAAAAAAATTCTAAGAACAAAGCTCTGATTAGAAGACGACGAACCCCATACCATATGTGTCAGTCCTTATTTATAGTGCAATCTCTTCCTTGAAAATTTGGCGAATAACGTGAACTTAGGAACGGTTGGGTTGAACCGGAAAGATGGGACGTGGAGAGAATTCAGGATTGTGGAGAAAATGCAGGCGCGTGAATACTTAATGATTGGAGAAAATCTAGGAGGAAAATGGCTTTGTTGCAGGTACCACGTATGGGAGTGGCAGGTGCCACTCCTTGCTATTTGGACATGGCAGGCACCACTCTTAATGATGGTGGGTGCCACTCTCTTCATGTATGGCAGGCGCCACATGTTGAGGTGGTGGGCGCCACTTTAGACCTTGTTCTGTGGACTTTAGATATTCTCCTTTTTGCTAACACTCATCTTTACTCTTTTCACCACTTTACTTGAATTTATTTATTTTTTCTCTTCTTTTCACTCAAATCTCCAATTCTGCTTGAGATACCTAAAATAGGACAATAATATCGGCATAACAAGACATAAATAAAGGAAAAATAAACTAAAATCCATGCGACTCAAGTTAAATATATGATATAATTTTGCGTTATCAGTCGTTCAAGCTGATAACACTTAATTTCGACCTCTTGTTAACACTTCACTTCAAATCTAATCAAATGATGATTTTCTTAAGAAACTGGATCAAACATGAGCGGTTCTAATCGTCCTTTCTATATAAAGTCATGCACATACTAAGATCCAAGTATTTTACTCATTATCACATTCATATAACTTTCCACTCATTCACCGACTTGGACGTTGGAGTGACAACCTTACAGGTTAACATCACTCTATCGTATTGAAAACACGTTCCACCTCATTAGAGTCCTATTAAACTCGTTCAACATCTATTTCAGATTCCTGAATGAAACACTGGTGTCATCTATGGGAATATGACATCTAATCCCCGTGAAATTCCATGAGAAACCATAATGTCTTCACCATTATTCAACAAGTATTTGATATACTCCTTACGTGAATCGGCAATTAGACTAGTGGAACAATGGAAATACCGAGAGCTACTCAATAAATCAGACAATGTAACGCCTCATTTGTGACTGCTTCCATAATTAATGTCGGTGATCTTACGAGGGAGACTCGACTCCTTCTTACAGTCGAATATGGTCTTATCTTGGTGAATAATCCTCTTGCTCTTTCACTGTAAGATATAATCCTTCTAACAATCTGGTAAGGCACATTCCAAGTCCTTCTAATTTTCCCATCTTTTCAGCAACCACTCCAAGGCCATACTTCGATGCAATCTTTTTTATAACCATTGATTTTATAACAAGAGATGCTTCAAAGCCTCAAACAACTGCATGTCAATATAGGTATGTAAAGGACTAACGATCTACTCAATAGTGTTTATAACATGTTGCAACAATAAAACTCATATTATTTGCCAGAAATAATACTCTGAATCTAAGAAAATTTGTAGTATGATCCTCGCATGTACCATTTTGTTAGCAAGGCGGACTCGTATCACGGACTCACACAGTGATCAAGGAGTTGAGCTAGGACTGATATTTGTTGATGTTATCTCTCCATGCAGGGTGGTCCCGTGATCCCCGTATGGCAACCATCGTCAAGAACATCATACACCGCCATGTGAGTCTGGGGGAGGAAGAGGTAGTTACACCCCTCATAGATCTATTGTCCCTATTATTCAATTTCGTGCTACTCCTTGAGAGATGAGGGAACAACATATAAACACACTTTTCCATAAGAAGAGGAATTCATTCTTGAAGTGTGTCCTCGATAGCAGGATCCCAAAGTCCCTCAAGGAACCTCTCAAAGTGCAACCTAAGAGGGGGTGAATTATATTTATGGGTCTTTTATGGATTTTTCTAGTTTATTTTTATTTTTCCAGAATTGATGAGCATATGAATGAATAAGAAACAGAAAAGTAAGCTCAGTAATGTAAATAAACACAGGGAATTATACTAGTTCCCCTTATCAGCCAAGGGTACATCTAGTCCTCTCACAGCTCATGAGAGATTTTCACTATTGTTAGATCTTTGTACAAGCCTCACACCAAAACTTCTTCTACAATCTTCTAACAACAACAAATAAGCAAACCACTTCCTTGATTTTCAATAACAAATAAGCAAACCACTTCCTTGATTTTCAACAACAAATAAGAAAACCACTTCCTTGATTTCCAACAACAACAACAACCACTATGGTGGACTTTGAATCTCCCTGACTCAAAGGACTTTTCCAACAAATATAAAGACAACACTTTCTATTTGCAAACACCTGTAAAAAGTATAATCAGTTTCTTACAAACAAAAATCACCACACACTTGGTGAATATTATAGAAAATTGATAAAGTTTAGTACATACAGACTTTTGATAGGGCCGTAAGTGCACGACTTCATCGGGTTTAGTATAAAATATGTTGAATCCCACAGAGATCAATTGATAAGTATTGTTATCTGTTATCATGTTGTTTATCTAAGGTGGTCTGATTGGATTTGTTCGCATACTTGGAAAATAAGTGTTTTAAAAGTAATTCTAATAATGAGAGATCAAAATGTAATTCTCTTCGACCGTTGATACTCATAAAATCATGTTTTATAATTATAACGAGAAAATATATTTTTGCGCGAAAAGAGTTAGTTAAAGGTATTGACCGCTTTCGCGGGTATGGTATCGGATTTCGAACCTATAATTGCCCGATTTCGTGTGGTACGAATTATAGTTTAGAGCCGCGTTTGGAAAATAATCAATTCTTAATCAAAAAATTATTTTTAGCAGAACATTAATGTAAAAGGTATCGTCCACTTTTGCGTGTCCGGTATCAGATTTTTTTAACGTATAAACGCCAGCTTTCACGTGTCATTATAAATTCAAAATCCCTTTTTGAAAATTAGGTTTTTCTAAATTAATTTGAAAAGCTCTTTCGCTGTATTTTAAAATTAATTTCTTATTTATTTTCAATCAGATATCGCTTTCACTCTTTCGAGCAGAAACCGATATCGCAGTGTTCCTACTTTCGCAACAAACTTTTAATAATAAAAAGCACAATTTCCAGACTTAAAAAAAATGTTACAATTTTTAACGTATGATTTAATAGAA